TTTCCCGCCAAAATATTAAGATGGCTCTGTCTTTTGGTTTTGTTCCATCCAGCAAAAGGGTGGATTACAAACAAATATTTGGTAATACGCAGTTACAATCGGCCCGAGTTTACACGTTTCCCGCACTCCACCGCAAATCTATATGAACCGAGTTTTAAGACGGCTCCCGCGGAGTACGCGCAATTCACGCGAGCCGACTTAACTCGTTTCCCGCACTCCAAGTGTTAAACTGTGACGGGCTGTTTGCTCCTGTGTGTCCTGTGGTTTTCCTTCAGTTGCCTCTACCTATACTCTTTTACTCTTTCTTGTTTGTTGCTTCTAATTCATTTGAGTTACAAAACAAAGTAACTTCTTACAAGTGTACAAGATGTACCAATAAGTAAACACTGGATAAAAGCCCAAGGAGCTCTCCTGCTACAGGGCTTGGGAAGCCTGGGGAGCTGTGTATTAGAGAGCTGAGGTGAACAGATAAGTGCGCTCCCCATGGGTGAAGTGTTACTACAGACGCCTCAACCAGTGCAAAGTACCCAAGAGTAAAAAGGAAATGGTAAAAAACGGAAAGGGGGGGATCTGATGGATTGACTATGCTAAAGTAATACGTCACATGCTTTTTTGTAAATCATTAAATTACCTTACCTCTTCAGTCTCAAAAGGTACTGAGACACCCAGGCAGGAAAGAGTTCATGTTTTGAAATCATCTTCAGTGCCCAAAATTGCTAAATGAAAATATAGTAATAGACTGCTTATTCTATTAATGTTTGTTCAGTTTATTTTAACTGTGTTTCTTTTAATTACATTCTCATACTATCCATATTTTTTCAAGTATACTATTTCAAGTAGAAGTAGTACTAAAAAGGAATAATATTTCATAGACATCCATGTAATGGCATGGTTTAAGAGAAATGAAAAATATACAAAGTTCTTACCGGTAGAGATTATATACACATGAATACTTGTATTACCAAGTTTTCCTTTAAATATGGAACTCCCTTAAAATTACTTTTAATAACTTAATCTGCAACTGCATTTTATTTAGTCATCTATTAATTCATTTAACAAATACTTATGCAACATCAACTATTGTTAGGAATTTTATTAGGTGGGAAGGATATAAAAATTAATAAGACATGTCCCACCCTGGCCAGTGTAGCTCAGTGATTAGAGCATCAGCCCGAGCAACAAAGGTTTGTCCTTGGTCAAGGGCATGCACCTGGGTTGCAGGTTTGCTCCCTGCCCCTGGTTGAGGTGGTTGCGGGAGGCAACCAGTCAATGTGTCTCTCACATTGAGGTCTTTCTCTGTCTCTGTGTCTCTCTCTTCTCTCTCTCTCTCTTTCTCTCCTCTCCTTCCCTCCCTCCCTTCCACTCTCTAAAAAGCAATGGAAAAAATATCCTCTGGCAAAGATTAACAAAAACAAAAGACATGGTCCCTGTATTTAAGGAAAGTGTGTAAAGAAATATTCAATTCCATTTTAGAAATATACATATTTATAAGTATATACTAGAGGCCTGGTGCACGAAATTCATGCATGGGGGGGGGGGGTCCCTCAGCCCAGTCTGCACCCTCTCCAATCTGGGACATCCCTCTCACAATCCAGGACTGCTGGCTCCCAACTGCTTGCCTGCCTGCCTGTCTGTCCCTAACCGCTTCTGCCTGCCAGCCTGATCACCCCCTAACCACTCCCCTGCCAGCCTGATCAAAGCCTAACTGCTCCCCTGCTGGCCCGATTGCCCCTAACTGCCCTCCCCTGTCAGCCTGGTTGCCCCTAACTGTCCTCCTCTGCAGG